ATTAAAAAATGACCAATTTCCCAAGTAATTATTAATTCAGATTTGCCCTTCATTGGGTTAAGAAAAAATTTGATGTTAATTTTATGGTGCTTTGATCAAGCTAGCTTTAAAATAATATATCCTTAAAAAGCATTTATTAATGCCCAAACAAAAGGGGCAGCAAAGTACAACCGTACATGCAATTTCATCTCTTCGGCATGCATCATCCTTTTTGGGAGAACTTCTATTGTATGTCATATAAGTTTCGATGCTACCATACCTTACATATGAGACCCTTTAAACAAAAAGTCAAGATCAAAATTCATTGCAAATATGGACATTTTCATGTAGAAAATTTTACTTGAATGGATTTTGATCTTGAGATCTTTTTGCTTCTCTAATTCAGAGATGTTGACTTTTGATCATTGATCATGTAACAACCAATGAAAATCTAAATTATTTAGGTTTTGATTGGTTGATTTGATCACAAGATCCAACTGCTGCGAAGATTTAATCTTATTGGTTAAAATTTGACCAATAGTGATTCAGATTTGAGTAAAGAGCCTATGGTGTTACCTTCTCAGGGTGTTCCATCTTGACTTAAGTATGTAGTTCATTCAGATCAACTTGTGTTTTTTTTTTTCTTTTTTTAATGATCAATAACTTGGCATGTCTTTTTTTTTGTTTTGTCCCAATATTTTGGACAATTTGTGAAATATTTTTTATATCATGTGTACTATTGATAAATAAATACTGTATTTATTGATGGTCTCTCACCATTATCAACCATTAGGATGAATAAATAATTATAATACATACTTATTGTCTTCTCTCTTTCAATGAATTTTTCCCCTTCAGAAGTTTCTGTCTCGGTAATGAATTGATTTTGTTGTGTATTCTTGTATTCAACTACAAATTTCTACAAAGATTTGTTATATGCTAGGAATATAATAGCAAATTATAGTCCTCTAGCTTTTGGGGGATGATTCCAACATTTACTTGTGCAATTAATGCTATATTGTTACTAACAGTGAAGCAATTATACATTTTATTATCATTTTGAATCCTTATTTTACTAAATGCTGTTGTTATTGGCTACAACACTTGTTGATTCTAATTGACTCTATGTGGTTTCTTAGAACAGACAGTATCTTTTAAGTCATTCGTTTGAATATGGCTCTTAACATCAATCTTTCTTGGATCATCTGCAACTATTTACAGCTGGGTCAACTGGAATGATGAGGAAAAGTGACCTATATGAGGTCACCAGATTTCCATATGCTGACCAGAATGAGATCCACAACCACCATTGTTTTGACATAACAAAGCAAATGATGTTAATGATGGTAATCCTAAACTGTAACCAATAGATGAACCAAGAAAGATCCTTGGTCAAGCACCAGCTGCTAGGACTGAGCCCTTTTATTACCTTTCTTATTAATTCTAATTCTGATAGTTTGAGTATATAATAAATTATTTTATTAATTAATCAGGATTAATTAAGTTTTATCTACCAGACTTTATAACCATTCCTCTCAAATATTAAAAAGCGTCTGGACAACTTATATTAAATAAAATGGAAATGTAAATTTGCCCTCAATATTTTGCATGAAGTTCTATCAGTCAAATTGTGAATGTAGTCATCCATTTCTTTAAAGGGGCACAATCAACATCATCTGTTCAAACAATCATACTTACATTTAAGAAATAGTAATTGTTTACCTAAGCCATTCAGAAATAGTAATTGTTTACCTAAACCATTCAGAAATAGTGTTAGAAATAGAAAATGAAATTCATAGTTTGAGGTATGTTTTAAGTGGCAATGCAATTTTCTGACAGTCATTTCCTAAATACTATTACCATATACTCAAGACCCAATTGGTCTGACAGTTGTCCTTTGATATTCAGCCCGTTGCAGTGCCCTCTGTCTCAAAAAATGAGAATCTGTATGTAAAACATCATGAATGTTCTTATTAACAAACAGGGTTCCTAGATAGAGAAAGGGAAATTTGATAGTTATATACAACACCTCTTGTTATTGACAGGACACTTCAATAAGATATCTATTCAATCTATTATACTCAATTCATACCTATATATCAATGACACATTTGTTTTCATTGCAACATGAATTAGCTTTTAGAGTAAAGAATAGAGGTTATTCACTTGTGTTGTTAAGATTGGTCATAGATACATGATTCATTATGTATGTGAACTCTCCAGAACTAGTTTTAAAGGAATAGCAGTAAAGATCTTTGGATTTTATATGGAGTATGGAGTCATTTTTTGTTAATTTTTAATGGAATTAGTTTTAATGGAATAATAGTATAGATTTTATAACTTTTAGAAGGAGGAAGTTTAAAAAATGTTGAAATAGAACTCTCAAAGGGACAGTGTTTTGTGGTTAATTTTTAAGAATGTTTTTTTTTTAAAGAAATAGTTGAATTATAGAATATTTTATTGAGAGAAATGTTCATATCAGTGGTTGCAGAATAAAGAATAAGATTCATTGGATATATTTAAGTACATGTACATCTCAAAAATTATTCTCTTGTGGGGATTTAAGAAATATTATAAGGAATATTCGAATATAACATATTCCCATCAAATATATTTTAGTTCATGTGAACTCACAAAATTACATTTGTGTGAGTGTAACAAATATAAGTGAAATTAGAATAAAACATTTGCTTGTAAGATTCATTTCAGTGGATGTGAACTCTCAAGATAATTTTAAAGGGATAACATGACATGTATAAAATTCATGGTGAACCAAGATAGTTTTCATAGGTAAGATTTCATCAATAAAGATATGTCGTTACAGTTATAAAATTCAAAGGAATCTAAATATTAGCTTCACCAGCTGAAAAAGCTAGATTTAAGCTATATGTATCTCCCTTTTTTTGCATTAAGAGTTGATGATTGCTTCTACAATTCAACAAAAATATAACTCTTGTAAAAAGTCAAAATTTACTTGAGATAATCCTTCTTCACTAGTTTTATAAAGGAAAGAAAGTTGGGTGTAAAACTCTATTTCTATCATTTATAATCCTATAGTTGTATTTTATTTAATCAGGACTTTCTTTCTGCAGAAATAATCATTAATCCTTGCAATATTGATTTGACAGTATTTATCTATGAGATTTTTTATGTTTGTACAATACAACATAAACTTGTACTTATCTTAAAGGGATGTAATCGTCATCATATTTATCACTTTTTAATATTAAAATTTTGAAAAATTTTCTAAATCAAAAACAATTGGTGACACTATGGTCACATGTTATGCAATAACCACAATTTAAACATAGTTATAGCACATCTTAGCTCCTCCCAGTCTATATAACGAAAATATCAAAATAAATTCTCGATATCATGTTATTAATCATAGTAAGCTACCTTTAAATTATGATGACTTCATCATGCCAACAAAAACATTTAGATTTGTGTTCAATGAGAGAAAAGAGTAGCAATTAACTACCTAGCTATACCTATGGCCCACACATCCACTTTAATGAAGTCATTAATTAGTATATCACTGTTGATTTTGTAGGCGCATTACTAATTAGTATTTTAGATGTTGTAGTTTAGGTAATTTGATTCATTAAGTACATGAGAATTTGTCAGTAACTGCAGTATACCAATAACATATAACATGTACCTGCTTGAATGTCCTTAATAATATACACCCAAAAAATTGCATGATCCTACAATGTCATGTACCATTGAAAACTTAATTCTATTTGTAAAAGTTTTGTTCAAATTTTGATCTTTTGTGCTTAGAAGATGAAGGTATTTTTAATATAACTCTCTGAACTTAGCTTTATTAATACAAAAATGAATTTAGAAATTTTATATGAAAAGCCAAATTTTCGTGAAATTTGGGGTCTGCTGAGTAACAAATATTGGCCAAATTTCCAAACCAGTTGCTTTGATTATGATCAATAGCTATTGTTAAGCCTTTGAAGCCTGAGTGTAAATGAAATATAACATCATATACCCTGAACTTCAAGTATTAAAAGTAAAAGCGTGTGACGTCACTTATTAACGGCCGGTATACCGGCTGCTCAGGTATATATTGCGTTAGTGTGTGGCCGGTAAACCCGGCCGCTAGGGTTAAAAGCGTTAACTTAGCAATATATGTATATGCATTGGAAGCTATCTCTTTAATATATGTTAGTATATTATTATAGTAAGATAGTAAAAGCTACTCTATATAAATGAAATGATATTAAATCTACTGAGATTATTAAAATGTCTCTTGATACAATTTATTATATTTTTATTGGGTCACCTAGTCAACTTTTCTACATATTTCATTATCAAATAAGTATACCAAGTTTAGGTCAATGGTGGCCAAATATATTAATTTTCGATATATATAAGCTTTTTGTATTTTTTCCATAAACAGACTTTAATTAGGTATATCAAAATTAATAAACTATAGATTACCTTTGAAATGAAATTTAGTTTAAGTCATGATTGGATTTATGAAGGCAGGCATTGCCATGAGTGAACTGAAGAGCAGTAGAGGTCTACACTTTTTTAACTGTCAAGGGATATTTTTGATATGCAGAACACACAGGGCATAGGGTTATTGTCACAGTGGAAAGATTAGATGTTTTTCCATGTCTTAAAGGGTTAATTTTCTGCATAATAACATTGAAGTTGGTGTTTGTGACAATTTATTTTTGTATATTTTAAACATATCTAATATTTTAAAATCAGACATATTTTGAAAAGCAAATTTTTTTTCGACAGTTCTTAGCAAGCATGTCCAGAAATATCTATTGATATTAATGGAGAATCGAGAATTGTTAAAAATGTGAACAAAAATTAAAGAAAAATAATCTGTGAACCATGGGAAGTCATGTTCTTTTATTTTGAAGGACAATCAGTAATTTTTCAATATTTTTCACTTCAGAATGATAAGATAGCAAAGTTGTGCCAAGGTATTCAAGAAACAGCAGAATATTCCATAGAATACAAAGACTCTGAACTGAAAGCTTAAGAATTCCAAAATGTTCCATCTAAAGTATCCCAAAAAATCAGACTTTTTCAACTGGGTAGAGTTAGAGTAAGTAATATTAACTACTCTATGATTATATGATAAAACAATTCGTATGGATATTATGGACTAACTTTATTTTAAACGACATTTCAACCAGCATTCTCTGGTCTTTATCAAGCAATGAATGATAAAGACCAGAGAGCGCTTGTTGAAGCATCGCTCAAATAAAGTTAGTCCATAATAATCCATAAGAATTGTTTTATTATTTCCAACACCTTTACTTAATACCATTAAAAGATTATACTCTATGATAATAAGTCATGTTTTAAACTTTGTTGTTTTTAAGCTAGTAGAAGCAACCAGCTGGTGTTTGGGTTTTCTAAAGGATATCTGCAAAGCAAAAATATCAACTATAAACATTTTTTTTTCAAAATGCTTGCTTAAAGCATAAAACTATATTTTTGATATAATATTTAGGAGATTATTAAATGTGCCTACTTGACTCACTCTATAATGGGTTTTAGTCAAAACAAGAGTGTCAATGTTTTTTTTAATGAAAATTTTGCAAAGGCATTAAGTATATTATGAGTTTTATGGTGCATTAATAAATCTAATGAATTCAGTAGTTACCAGTTTGAGCACCAATTTGTTACCCTACATCTGTATAGTAATTATTTGATATTTCAGGTGTTTAGCAAGAGCACTAGGGGTAAGTACTATCTAATCAAAACTGGATTACAATTTTGTTTTTTTTCCAGATTGTCTTCCTCTGCATTGTAATCTAACAAGTTTTATATTACACTCTCGTTCAAATGAACTATGTTATCTTGACCAATGAAAGAACTTGTTTGACCGTTTCCCGATATCAATGAGGAATTGCAGGACAGCTTAACCTAAAAAACAGCCTCTTTTGATTTTGCTATCCCACAATTCAACCTTGTTGTCCAGAAACAGGTCCTACAAAGACCCACTTTGAGAATAAAGAATGATAATTGTACAATTGGAACTCTTGTGTCATTATTTAATGTGCTATGTATAATAGCTGTCAATTTTTATTTATTTTTGCATGAGATTTTAAAAACCTTTTATTTTTTATCATTATAGTATAATAGTCATATATTTAAAGAAAATATAACAGATGAAATTATATATACTACAGAGGGAGTTACTCTCACGGTAAGCTACTCATATTTACTACTTTCTGAAATTTTTCATATATAACATATCAGGGTTCGCACAGCCCTTGAAAAACCCTTGAATTCTGTCGGTTGCCTTGAAAAACCTTGATTTAAAAAAAAAGTCTTTGAAAACACCATAAAAAACCCATTTTGTCTTGAAAAGTCCTTGAATTCTGAGTTGAGTCAAATTGTGTATATTTTTATCATTAACCCCATTGACAAATATTAACTATTTTTATTGATTTCACAGTTCAGAAGTAAGGTACATGTGTATTCTGTCAGACTAATATCCTTGAAAAGTCCTTGAATTTCAAAGCCCTGAGTCCTTGAAAAGTCTTTGAATTTTTGAGGCAAAGTGCTGTATGAACCCTGCATATATTAAAGACCCAAATTAACCCCTGAGAAAGTAGAACATATTAAACATTTTGGTTGACTTCCAACTTTTATTTTTAATTTTAGGAGATGTTAAAAATGATAGAATATAAGATATTACAGTCTGTGTTACATCTAACATTTAATATGCATACAGCTGATTGGAATATGTGTTTGATTAAAAAATGTTTGATATTATTGAATCATAAAGCTCTTATGTAAGTATATCTTTTATCTTCTAAAAGTTTTGAGAGTTCACCTCCTTTTGAGAGTTCACCTATCTAATATCATTATTATGTATGCGTTTTTGCTTTCAGGTTTGAAGAGATTCATTCTATAAGATTAAGCTATGAAACATATGAAGCTATAGATATGAAAGGGATGGTGTTAAATAAACATATTTTATTAAGGGCTATAAAGGTTTGTGCTACTACAGTTTTAATATGCTTAACTTATTTAACACTGACTAGGCCAGTGCTTTTATGAGACTGTGTTCACATCTCCGCTACCTTGTTTTATTGTGAATCTTTACTTCGAATCCTAGGCCTGTGCTTTAATTTTCTCATCACCAACCAGCCATGAGCATCGAGCTATGAAAATAGATGTGCATGTCATTTTCTATCTGCTGGTGTCCATACAATTAAATTTGCAATGCACTATAGTATAATATGTAGCCTTGTTTTATTAGTCCCATTTGCTTTGACAGGTCTTCAACAACAACAAAATGAAGAATGCTGTAATACAGATTTTTGACAATCTTTAGAGTCAGCAATTTTTGTGCAGCAATGTGAATTTTGCTTTATTATGACCAAAATTCTTCCATTTTGATTGTCTCCCTTTAGTGTGTTTTTGAAAGTTTCAAAGTCAATTTAGTGGAAGTGTTCCAATAAAACTGCATATCGAAATAGTCATATCAACAACCTTTGTGCCATGAAAGTTTTCCAAGCTCAATGATTACTTAAACCAAGAAGTTTCTCATAAGATTTTCAGCTATCCTTTTGTTTTTGAAAATTCATAACAACCATTGTCTACCATCTAGGATTTCTGGGAAGGGAGGGTTTGAAAATTGCTATTCTTGGTAAAGACTTCATGATTAATGACTCTAGTGGTGTTTTAGTTCTAACAAGATAACTTTTTGAGGCATGCAGCTGGGATTTGAAAGAAGGTTTTTTTTTATATTTTGCCAGATGTGTGGCAGAATGATCGCACCAATGAAATTGATGCACAGAATAAAACACATGAGGGATGAATTTGATGAGAAAGGGAGAATACAACTTTATGAGTTTTTAGAGTTAATTTTATGGTAAGTATAGATGTATGTGGTTGGCACCCGTCTGTCTGTCCATCCACAATTGGCTTGTGAACACAATAGAGGCTACAGTTTTTATCTGATTTTAATGAAATTTGGTATGATCATTTATATTCATGAGATCTTGGACAAATTTGAGGAACTTTCGATGATCGATTTTTTAGTTATTGCCCTTGACTTAGGAAAAACGCATCAAAATTTGTGAACACAATAGAGACTACAGTTTTCTGTAGAAATTTTAATGAAATTTGGTATGATCATCTATTATAATGAGATCTTGGTCAATATTGAATCTGATGATTTTTCAATGATTGGAATTTGAGTTATTGCCCTTGTCTTAGTAAAAATGCACCATAATTGGCAGTGTATGTCAACATTTAATGAATTTTGTGTTTTATTAAATCAACAATATCATGCACAAATTAGATTTTTGGTATGATTTCACACAGATTGGTGACCGCCTTTGATATACTGAAAATGTATCAGGGGAGTGGGCGTATCTTGCTAGGCTACCACTTGTCTCTTTACTTGAAGGAAATAATAAAATTGAATTTTGCATCAGGGATGTTGTTGGCTATGTGGTTGTAATAAACCTATCTAAAACCGATGATTGAATTTTATCACAAGCTATTTTTCTTTTTGGTGGATCCTAGTGATTGAAAGGTTTCAAATATGTCTTAATGCATAGGCAAATTCAGAATTATTTTACTGGCTGGTGAAAAATATATTTTATTATAGGTGTGATCTATATGAAAAATTTTATTGTGATTTTCGTGGTACAGCTAATATTAAAGAAAATAAACTTTTTCAGGTGGGTATTTCTCTTTAAATTTGACTGGCTTCTGGAAGAGAGGCCAGGTTAACAAACCAAGTAGCCAAGTATTATCAGGTGTTCATTAATGATGTCCTGCTTAGACATAAATTATAAGGATAAAAATTACTTCAATAAATAACTTGCAACTTTTCGACATTGGAAATCTTGTCTTAATCAAGCAATGATACAAAATGATATAGCTTAAAGTAAACTTGTTGAAAAGTCGAAAGTTATTTGCTGTCTATATTATTGTGTTCATTGTCTTTTGGTTGCAGTATTTTCCACTTGGTGTGAGTGTATGTTATCACCCAAGGATGAACCTTATTGAAAATCAGATGAATCGAAAAATATTTACTAGTTACTGAGTTATTGCCCTTGTTTTTAAATTGTTTGTGGACACGATAGAGAGCTGGTTTCTTGATGGCTTTTGACAAAACTCGGTGTGAGTGTTTGTAATCACCCAAGGATGAACCCTATCGAAAATCAGAAAAATTGAAAAATATTTACTATGAGTGATTGCCCTTGTTCTTGAATTGTAAGCTGTAAACAAAACTCATGAAATATGAAAATTTCACTCACAGAAACATTCATTTACTGATAACTCTTGTCAACCTCCCTGTCAAATTAGCTGCCATTACAAATGTGGGCGTATTACGATGGCATCGCTATTTTTTTGGGTTAACAGAATTTTTCTTGAACTTAACAGGCGTGAAAAATTATGAAAAGAGATATCAGAGTACCTTCGGTAGGCTGGAGGGAGTTATACTAGCTTTGACATACCGGTAGTTAATCCAGTGACATATAAGGCTATATATACTGTGGATTAACATAATACTAATCCTAAATTAATCTTACTATAGTTAACAACATAGTCAAATATTGCCACCAATACAATACTGGTATATATCTTATGGAATTGCCCCAATTCTGTTATTTTAAAACCAGGGATAAAGATGCCCTTTTTATGGACCATCCATGCCATTTCTACCTAACATCAAGGAGTTTGTTTGAAATATTTCCAGGATAATAACTTGATAAATTGTCAAATGTCTGTAGAAGTGTACAAGTACCAGTTGAATGTCCACATGTTTGATTGATTTTCTACCATTTTCTTCCCAATTCAGCATCAGAAGTTAATATTATTTAATAAAAAAAAGTTATTTAAATTTGATCAATTGATTTTTCTGGTAAACAAGCATATTTTTTTTGTACTATTTACTCTACTAATATCTTATGATATTGATAAGAATTTGTTGCAAAAATAGTTTTCATTGAGAAATACCAGAATTAAAGGGACATTCTGCTTTTATTGTAGGTGGAAATTCCTTTTTGCTCAAATTGTGAAATTATACACCAAAATCTATAGAAATGTGCCCTTTAACATATCTGAAACTTTTTCCTAGAAGAATCAAGCTGTTAATTTTTAAACACCAAAAATATTGAAAAACATTACGTAAGGTTTTTATACACCCACATCTCTTTATGTGGACGTATATTGTCGGCACCCCCGTCCGTCCGTCCGTTGGTCCGTATGTCCGTCAACATTTGCTTGTAAACGCTCTCTAAACTAGATTTTTTGATGGAATCAAATGAAATTCGGTATGTGTATACATATTCATAAAACGAAGATCAAGTTCGAATTGGAGCTATTTTCGACTGTTAGAAGCAGAGTTATTGCCCTTGCCCCAAAATCTTGAATATTTACCATCCGCATGCCATGGTGGGCGTATATGGCTGTTGTCCACTATCTTTAAGTTCGTTACGCTTATTGGAATCTGTTAGAAAACTACTGTACGGATTTGAGTATATATATCTCCTACTTATTCTAAAGGTTTCAACTAAATATAACGAGCCATTAAAAAGCCAAACATCAAAACTAGTTCAAACTGCTTAATTAACAATTAGTACACCCCATTTTTAATTAACTCTTTTAAAATAAATTCAGTTTGATGAAGTAGATACATAGATATAAATAGCATATTTTAGAAATATTTTCAGGTATAATTTACAACATTTTTGACAAAAAAAACAGAATGTCCCTTTAAGACGAAATTGATTGTGAGATTACTACTCTATGTTGACATTGATGCTTTTGATGAAGACCCTAGTATTATCACTACTTAGATCTACACATACATGTTTCATGAAGTATATTGAAATTGAATTGATACCATAAAAAGGCCCTTGGTATATATATTTATATCTATGTACATACATGTTACTATAAAATAATTTACTCAGTCCTAATATTAAGATTGATTACTTATTGATTATATAAGTGAATTAGTTGAAATCTAACTTGTATAGTTTTAACACAATCTAATCTAATTGTTAGTGTTAATACAGTCTATATGGACAATGAATGACTCTAACATTGGTCTAACTGTAGGTTTACTTTTTATATATTGTGGCTGAATTTCTTCTGAAAATTGGAATTTCAAATTTGGAAAGGATATTATATACAAAGAGGAATGTTATCCATCACTAGAGATTATACAATCAGGAAACTTTTGGAATTGTTATTGTGTTGCTGTTTGTTTTCTAAAAATTTGCAGTAGATTTGTATATGTTTCAAGGACACTTATCACATGGAGTTGCATCATTCTCATCTCTTCTTCAACATCTGGCTATTCGTACTGCGATGGACATTAAAAAACATATGGCCATCCCTACCTAACCCTAACAAAGTCACTTAATATCATTCTTGACAAACAAAAATGGCTACAGTTTTAAAAAAACCCAAAAACTAGCGCGCTCATTTTGTCCTATCTTATCCGTGCCATTGTTAGCAACCAAAAAAGCACGGTGCAAATAGCATGTGCATATTGAAAATGCATGTATCACTCAAGTCAAATGAGTCTGTTCATTCCATTATGTCTATGCAATATATAAAATATTTTTTCTTAAATATTCCAAGTTTTCATGAGAAATTCTGACATTTGAAAATACTATGTTTAAGTCAAATTTTCACCCAATCAAATAATTGCAGTGATATCAACTCACTATATCAAACATAGGATGTCTAATATTTATGTCTGATGGTAAATTGATATGGTGCAGATAGAGGCTATACAAGTTCAAGACACATATACAAACACCATCTTCACAATGTCTTGTGATAACAAATTTATGTCTTATACCTTGACAGGAATAGCCACCTTTCTTGTATCAAAGAATGTAGGGATTTGATTGGATCAACGCCTGTTTACAGATTTTTTGTTTAGGTCTCTGATTGGCTGTATTTGTTAGCGTATAATCCAATCAATTTGCTGCATTTACAAACTTCTGTGACACAAGAAAGGTGGCTGTTGCAGTCGAAAAACTGTTATATACCTTGATATTGTGGAGATGTACAAACACAAGAAAACTTCTTTTTATTCTATTTAGAGTCTGATTTGTATGTTGTTTCTGTTGATACTTGACTTTGGTAAATCCCATTTTTATTTACTCAGTAGAATAAACTATGCTGTCATTTTGTCTTTACAGTTGGTAGATTTTGAGAAGGTACTGTCTCATCATGATGAAAAAATTCACAAAGATCTTAACTCTCAATATCTTCAAGATGAATGGGACTTTGGTCAGGAGAAATTGGGCAGTAAAAGACTGTTTAAAGATCCTACAGTACATACAGAAGACAGCATTAGAAGGGTATGGTTTTATTTACTTTAAAGGGATTGTGAAGAGGTTATCTAAATTTTGTATGTTTATCAGGGACTATGATAGCATCAACTTGCACCATTCCAATTTTCAATTAGACGTCTGTTGCACTACTTCCCATATTTTTGTGGTTGATAAGAATATTTCATTAGTGAGAGAGAAAGTTAATGGTTATGTTTCAACAATATTTATAGATCTAAACAGTCAATAATGCATAGTCAATAATGTTTACATTGATATGACTTAAGTAGGTAATAAATCACAGTGATTAATAGGGGCTGTCTTAGATAGATTGAAGAAAATGTACCACAGTAACAAATTGCGTCTTATATTATACAGTCTAGCAAACATTTGTGCTCTTCAAAACACATACAGACTATAAATAATCTTGCTTTGATTGGTTAATCATAATGTCATTAGAACAGGACTGGGGTAGAAAACTTGTTAGATTACAATCGAGAAAAAAATGGAATTTAGTTTGAATAAGGTTGACTTCAACTAATGATTATATGGACAGCTCTACTATACCCAGGCTCCTGTTTCTCAAAATATCATAGATATAAATGTTGAAAATTAACGATTTCTCCTAATTGTACCAATTTTTGTGAAACAGGGCTGTTGATATATTTGCTGGACTTAACCGGCAGGCTAGCTTAAATGTCTGTTTTTTACAAGGATTAGTCGGACAAGTAAAGAGTAGTACATAGGGGGTCGATCAAATTGTTCCAAACCTTGGTAGATCCTAAAAAAAAAAAAATCAATTTTGTTAAAATTCATGTCAATGCTATGCAAACTATGACATCATTTATATACATGTACTATTGGTAGATAAACCACACAAATTTTGCTGTGCATTTTGGTATATATATTTCTTCCCATTGCAACTCATTAAGGCAAAGTGGATATGTCTCTTTAAATATGATATATTTACAACTTTCTAAAAGTAAACATTACATTATTATTTATTAAACTATAAACACATGGTTATGAGATAATGTTCTATCTGATTTTGATTTTAAACTAAAGGTAATGACCAAACTTATTTTCTATTTTGATACGTCTAGTAGAGGTATCTGGGCACATCCAGGTCCATCTTTATTTGTGTAGAATGTATAGTAATTTGACTGTATATGTCAAAAAGATATATAGAAACAACCATTTTTTACAAGGATAATAACTTAGGTTCACAAGGTACCAGCTGGTCCTTGACCAAACCTCTTGGAGTTGAACACTTCTATATTTTTAGTACCCATTTACTAGGTCAAGTATGATTTATTCAAGGTCACCAGACTTTCAAATGCTGACTAACATTAGAATTCTCAACCACCATTTGTTTGATTTAACCAAGCAAATGATGTCAATGCAAAGCAACTTCAAAATAAAGTATATTGCTTGTGTTTATGTTTTGATTCGGACCGATATGTGCAGGAATATCTTTGCTTGAACGATACTGCTATTATTTTTTCAGACCACCTATCATAAAGAAGATTATAAACATCTAAAAAGTGAAGTGGCAACATCCCAGAAACAGGTTCACCAGGCTAGAGCAGGATTTGTACGTCCTAGACCAGTAACAGCACCACAACTCAGTCACTATAGACGTAAGTTTAGTCAACAGACAATGACAGAGAGAAGTGTTGCTGAAACTTATAAAATAGTACAGAGAAGACTTAGATCAGCTCCTGCCAGATGTAAGTTTTATTTAATTTATTTTTTTTTTATCTCTTAATCCTACTTCTTAATGAAAGACAGGGTCCAAGATATTTACTGATTATGTTGCTATTAGTGCTGGGTATGGCCATTTATGCCATGATACGATACGTATCTCAACACAAGGGTCAAGATATGATATGTATCACGATTCAAGGGTCACGATATAGGAGACAATTTTGACACTTTATCTTCAAGGTTTCAAATTTCAATATATATTAATTCATAACTTTATAACTGTGATATTTGGTAATATAGTTGATAGAAGCGGTTAATATCCACTGTCTTATAATAAGTTATCAACAATTTCAGTGAAGACAGTGAGAAAAATTTGTGAATCAATTCACGGTAGCGATACGTGTGGCATGTTGTATCATATATTGATTCACTTATATATCATGCCAACACTTGTAGCTATGTACACACTTTTTCTTATCTGTGATACAGGTTAGAGGTTCATTCAGACGGATCTTGTTTGCTTTGGGTTGTACATTTTACAGACACCTCAACCATCAAAAATCAAAGAGAGCAGTAATTCTATGGGAATTTCTATAAGATACTGGTCCTATAAGTGTTACCCTTAAGCTCCAGAGTATATTCACTTTGAGCTCTACTACATTGATTATTGCTTGTTTCCTACCTGATGCCACTTCTGTGACCAGTTTTTACAGCTTGACATCTATTTCAGAGAGTTTACATGGGAAATGAATTAGAAAAAATTTAAGTTTTTAAATCCTTTCTTGACAATTGCTTTTAATACTAGAGATGAAGACATTGTCTTTTTGGACTTTTTTGTCAAGTATCTTGGTCCGAAAGTCATTCTTCATCCCAAAGTACAAAATATATAATATTTAATAATAACACATCCACCTTGTTGTTATTTCAGCATCTAAAATTGTTCTACCTGAAAGACCTAAAACATGTGATTATTATCGGAAACCTACACCCTGTATTGTTACATCAACTGATATTATAGATCTTTATCTTAAAAAACAGTCATTAAACTTCGACATCACTACTGTAGTAAGTTTTTAAAATTGTCATCGTAGGGCCTATATAAAAAAATTTGTCGGTTTTAGTGGGTTTCTTCAGGTTCTAACTTGCCTGGCAAGCTATCTTTATCATAGATATCTCCTGGCAAGCTACCTTTATCATAGATATCTCCTAGCAAGCTATCTTTATCATAGATATCTCCTAGCAAGCTATCTTTATCATAGATATCTCCTGGCAAGCTACCTTTATCATAGATATCTCCTGGCAAGCTATCTTTATCATAGATATCTCCTAGCAAGCTATCTTTATCATAGATATCTCCTGGCAAGCTATCTCTATCATAGATATCTCCTCTACCTTTATCATAGATATCTCCTGGCAAGCTATCTTTATCATAGATATCTCCTGGCAAGCTATCTTTATCATAGATATCTCCTGGCAAGCTATCTCTATCATAGATATCTTATAATACACTAGATAGGAATGACGTCATCTAAAAAGGTGTCATCGTCCGCCATCTTGGAGAGTTCTATTATATACGCTTTGTCTATGCTATTTCAGTAGTGATAATAAAGAGATGATTCGATGATTTTCAGAATATTTAATTATTGCTTCCCATTGACCATGGAACCACCAAAAGTTGATTTTGCATGTGGATTTAATATTCCACTCTCATCACAGGAAAATAATAACTAATGCACAAAATGTAGCATAAAATCTCTCACCAATGATTGTATTTATTTCCTTTTGCATTTGATAATCAACAGCCACCTTCTCTTTCTAGATGGCTTTCAAAATACTAAAATTCCTAGGTCATGAATATATGAAAGTGCTTGTACAGTGTTTAATTTGTGGTTTGTGTTGTAGAAAACTAGAGCAGAAGAGAATGGAAATGATGATTTAGATTATTTATTACCTGGTTATAGAGAGAAAAGATCAAGACAACCTAAACAACAAGGTAAATTACAATTATCAAAATATACTTCATTGGAGTTGTTGATTTCTTTACCATTTTCATTTACCCTTGTGACCAGCTGAAATCAAACTCCAGCTGCTTAATGTAACATAACAATTGATTACTGATTAAAACTAGGTGGTGTACAGGTAAGATGTACACCTAGCTTGTCAAAAGTCGGTATAGAGCAGCGCAAGATTTGACATTCGGTAAGTTGCATTCTGTCAGATCTTGAGCTGCTCTTCAACCTCAGTTGTCAGTTGAAGAATCATGATGGCAGTTTGCCCGATGGAACAGTGACTGACAGCGTCTGCTTATAGGTCTATGCTCAACAATAGTCAAAACATTCAACCAATCTACACCTTCAATTCCACAGTCTGATACAGATAGCCGTAGGAGATAAATCAAGTAAAGTTCTTTCTTATTTTATTTTCTAGAAAGAGTAGAGGAACCTGTCAAAGAAAAGAAACCAACTAAAAACACGGAAGAAGTTCTGGAGAATTTGTCACAACCTAAATTACGTCACTATAAACAGCATCATAAATCTTGCGACGCAAGGTGGGTTCAGTTAAATGCACATTATAATTTTCTTACCATATTGGATATTGAAATATCATTCATCATTCTTTTCATTCAGTCTAACTCTAACCCTTGATACATCAGAATCAAATTGCTGTAATTATGTAAAGTAGTCACTGGTGGAAGGACAATAGCTTCTATTTGTGACTTTCCGATATCCAGTCAAAAGTATGTGGTTCTTACGAAAAAGTATTTTTGAAGTGATACTTTGGCATCAAATTTGCAAGAATCATTTAAGTAGTGGTACTTGCAATAGTGACAAAAATAATAGCTTTATGTGGAATATCAAGAAACACCACAGTTTTGGTGGAAAAGAGTATGATGCAAATAGGAGCTAGAAGTGTTCAAGACACACACAACTGCAAACACCTTTAAAGATGGGTTTCCTTGTTTTTTAATGTCAAATTAAGCAAACTATTTGATATTTTTGATTTATTTTCAGACATAGAGGGTGGTATGATGTAGGACGTAAGAAAGGACCTCAAAGAATTCTAATCAATCTACCATTTAATGAAGGACCAAATGGACTGTTTATGAAACGGTTACAAGAACAAGCAGAAAATGGAGACCCCAAAAACTATATCTACAGATACACCAAAAAGCACCAATACCAACCAACCAAAGGTCATCCAAAATATCGACCTTATACAGCACCAGCATCTACTTCTCACAGTGACTTGACTACTGAGAGTTGTTCCAGTCAATCTGGAGACTCAGACAAACTACTACATGCTGTTCATGAAAAGCTGCTAAACGTAGAAAAGGATGTTTCTACAGAGTCTCTTCCCAATTCTGTATCAGATGTTGCAGAAACAGAAGAGCAGCCAAGGTACCCATCTCCATCAAAATTTCCCAAAACCACATCTCCAACTCTTTCACCTTATTTCTCTAAGACACCTTCACCTGTAGATGTACCAGATCTAAGTAAAGACCTCCCAGATTCCAACAGAAAGTCACCTCCACGTAAAAATCCTGTGATTTCTGAAATAGATTACCCAAACCCTTACATGAAACATACCAAGCCTAAAATTGTGGAAGTTGGCCACATTGGAAGAATCAAGCTGTTAGAGAGTATACAAGAATCTAAAGACTTAGAAGAACTACTGTATGAACCAGATTGTAAATTGATCAAAGTTCAAAGCCTATCTAACGGTCCAGAGTTTGAAGGGGATAAACCTCCTGAAAAATGTCCTGGTTCTAAACCACATAGCAAGAAACTGGATGGCCTGCTTCAATTAAGTGACAAGTATTCTGTAAAACATCCCGATTCAATTCAAGAAGATGCTGAAGATGTTTCAGTTGTTCCATCAAAAGAGACAATTGAATGCAGCAGCCAAGGTAATCCAGAACCCAAAGAACAAAAGGATTTACCACCTTACATCAGACCTGGTTCAAAGGATGAGATCTTGCCTTCTGATTTTAAAAATCAATTGAATGGTGAAGACCTAACATCAGATTTGTACACCAAAAATTTCAAAAATTCTAATACAAAGTCACAAGAAGAACCAGAAAACATCTTGACATCCTCAAGTCCAAAAATGTTAGAAAAGTTAACCGAACCTCAAGTAAAACATGTGATGGCCAAGCCAAAGCCAAAAGTTCAAGCTTGGATTTGTGATAATCAACCTTGCAAGGATATGAGTTCAGCTCTGGAAGTTAAAGGTAAAGCAAAAGAGATCGGTATGGACTCTGTTTCAATGTGCCATCAATATATTTCTACTGGTAGAAAACCTGTTGCCAAAATTAGGTCCTATAAAAGATTAGCAGAGAGGGTCCAAAACCCATCTACCTATGTCCATAAATGTTTACTATCAGCTTCTTCTTGATGCCATTTTTCTATATTTATTTAATGTGTTCTCATATCCATAGAGGTAAAAAATGTAACAAATTGCACCGGACTCCAGTGATTTATTTTATTCCCAATTGTTTAGGAAGGTTAGCCACAATAATCATTGTTGTGATGCTCAAACAGAGAGCTCTACATGAGGATATGAAAGGCACTATCTAGTTCTTTGCCATCATTTGGCCTCCAAGCAAGCATACAACAATTTTGGTATCTATAAATAAACTTAGTAAGTAGTTTTCATTTTTGGATCTTGACAGTAGACAACCAAAGTCATGAAATGAAATGGCAGTTTAATGTCCCATTTTCCTGCATCTGATTGGGCAGATTACTGCTATGAGTGAGGGGAAATGTTGCAAAAACAGCAGAATTTGACTACTCTATTTTCCTGTGCCATCTGAACAACAAGACACTTTTCAACATCAGCCCCTCTGAACTGTATCACTGCCAGGAAGTAACTGGGTTGATGAATCTGAAGGTATTATTTGGACCTTCACATTTGCTAACTCATTAAGCTATCCTTGGTCCCAAAATGCACATAAGACCAAAAAATCATAACAAAGCATTTATATATATAACATAGAGACATTTAATAACCAAACTAACATATATATAATAATATAGATAGAGCATAAATAAAGACAATAAAATCTTCAGTGTACAATTTCTCCACGGTTAAAAACAGCCTTCACCATTTCAAAATTTATCCAAAACCAAAATTTGACAGTAAATAACTCTTGATTTGATAAATGGTTAAATATGAAATCTTGCATACCCACTAACTCATCTGATCACTTAGAATCAAACATTGAGATTCATCCAATGCTTGACCAAACTCTTGCGCTTTCGGCGCAAATCTCACTCGCGATTCAAAACCATGCATTGATAAAAATTTATAAGCGTAATTTGAGATTAAATGATTAATATATGAAGACAAAAATAATATATATCAGCAATATGAAAATGAAGCAAGTTTAAATAAAGAATAAAAGAGAACTATATACAGACCAAAAATACATGAGAAGAAAATCTAAGATCCGTCCGGCAGAGAAAGGCAATTATTGATGAAAAATTCTATAAAATTTATTATTACAATTCATTATTGGGGGCAATTAATAATTAATTTAAAATTTTAAAATTCATTATTGATGTGAACGAAGTTCATAATAAGAGATGAAAAGTTCCATGCACTTAACACAACTGGATACTGTACAGTCACAAGTTAAGAAAAAAAATCCAAATTATGTGATACACTTCTCCATACAGGGTAAACAACGTAGAAAAATACCAAAAAAATCACACACCATAATAAACAATATCTGTATTAGAACAATTTTTAACATTTTTTTTCTCTTTATAAATCCATTTTTCATTTTTTTTTTCCTAGGTCATTTTAGTTATCCATACCTAAAAACATTGAAGTCACGACATCACTATAAAGTTAAAATAAAAAGTTGTTAACACTTTGTAGTGGGATTATACAATACAAGTCCAAACTACATTGGTATATGAAATGTCTAGTAACATTCACTATATTTTCCTTTCCGATCCAAACAAAAACTTGAAACAAACATCAATCAATCCTAGGTCCAAAAAAAAAAAGTTCTTTATTCATCATCAGAGTCATCTTCTGATTCTTCTTCAGCTTGTTCTAACCAAGTTAACCATTGGTTTACCTAAAAAAAAAGAAATTATGAAATCTTAAAACATCATGAAGTCTAGTTTCCAAAAATTATACACCCATACAAAATTAGCTTCTATTGAAAGCATAAGGTATGAATCTGTTCCCAAGTCAATTTTCAAACATTTTGGGCAAGTCATAACCTAATTAATCGGATTAGTTTAACAATTCATAGTAAATCAGAGTAATTGAAGTATTAATCAGATTGGCAGAATCAAACTAGACAGGGTATCCTACCACTTGTAAGAAATTCTATCTAGTTTACAACCCACATGGATGGTTGTCTTCGGGACCCCTGCGCTATCATCATTTTAAACCTTCCCTCAAAGCTTATGCTTCTCAAAACTTAAGAATTTTTTCAATGAGAGCTCCACAGACCCTTGAAACCTTAGGTCTTTTTGAGTTACTGGATTGATCCAGTGGTTAAGCGCCTATAACCAAAATTTTAAGAAGAACTCACCTGAAACAAAGCTTTTCCTTTCCCAGGATACTCGTCATTGACTTCTTCCTTCCAATGTAAAAATGCCTCTTCTTCAATAATCTCCATATCATAGAAATTCATAAAGAATCGTAATAACATTCCTTTAGGGAAACTATGTTGATGACAAAATACTTGTACAGCATATAATGCCACCACATTGAGTTTCATATGATCTCTTAAAAACATCTGTAGTACTACCTGGAAACAGAATATATAGCATATAGATTAAGCCATTTGCTTGGTAATGTCTAACAAATGGTGGGACGTGGGTTGACCCAGTCATTCATGGTTATCAATAATCCAGGCAAGATCAATGCCAAGAGGAACCTAAGTTATTATCCTTGTAAATAACAGTTAATTCTTTCTTTCTCTTGCAAGTCATATAAAGCTCAAGAATTCTAATATTTTGTTTTCAGTCAAACAGTCTCTGTATTGTTTACCTTCATCTTGTCCAAGAGATCTTTTTCTTTTTCAATAACAGATTTATCTGGTAGTGTATTTTTATCTATATTATTCGCTAGAGTTGTCTCTTCAGCAATATATTTGATTATACTGAAAAAGAAAACAATTTATACTGGCCTATGTTTAATTTGACCAATCTCAAGGATATATTCAAAACGTAATGACACGTCCAGTTTATGATTGACAGGCCAATGTAAATGTATGGAATGAATGTGAATCTTGCTATTGTTATGAGGAAATAGATGCTGGTTTATCATGTGATCTGCTTTCTACCTTGTCATCAGGATATTAATAAATCTAGGATCTTTCTGCATATCATTATCAACATGTTCTTTAATCCATTTAAACAATGATGTAGCAGAGGGTTCACATTGTATCTGTTTTGTCAATTCACACTGTATCTTCATTAGTGGGAATAGAAAACTTAATCCTCTATCTTCTAATGTTTCTATTAATCTTTCTCTCTTCTGATCCAATTCTACAATCAGACATTATGAACATATAACAAACAGTGGAATAACTCAATAGGTAGCGAGTTGGATTAATGTCCTCTAGGCTATTTGGAACGAATGGAGCAGTGATATGAAACATTTTTTGGGGAACCAATAACATGGATTTGTCTTTGAAGCATATTCATGAGGAAAAATGTTGGTGGATCATCAGAATTATTGGATTTTTAAGCTAAGACATATAATTTCTGTGCCTAATTCGTGTTTGTATCTTAATATTTATTGAGACTATTACATTTTTTTTTTACAAGAGAAACATGCAGATCAGTTCATTATCAGACTAAGGGGTGTTTCAGATTGATTATCAATCAAACTTACCTGGCAGCATTTTCATAAGATCCAGTTTACTATTATTGTATGTTGTCAATAGCCAATCCTTGTCTTTCATTTTATGCATCTGTTGTAAACACAACATAAATAATGGGTATTGAACCCCATTATACAGTGGTTCAGCTAGCTCAGCTAAACTAATCAATCCCTTAGTAACTGCCATAGCACCATATTTAGCTATGTAGGATTTAACTGTGTGTATTTCTTTCTCTAATTCTGGTAGTTGATCAATGACGCTTTTCAGTCCCTGAAATACCATAAGACTGGTTAGAAGATCTACAAGGTTCCATTCTGCTCCAGATGGGTAACCCCAAGCAGTGTGTAATGAGGGACATTTTTTTCATCATCTTTTGAATCAGATTGGCAGAATCAAACTAGACAGGGTATCCTACCACTTGTAAGAAATTCTATCTAGTTTACAACCCACATGGATGGTTGTCTTCGGGACCCCTGCGCTATCATCATTTTCAGACTTCCAGGAATCATAGGTTGATTTTCAGAATTTTATACTAACCTCAATTATGTGCTCTGAGTTGACCATATTTTCCTCTTTTAAAGCACATAGGATTTTTATAACGTTTTCACGATCATCATCTGTAATTCAAAATACATTGGATTCATTAAAACCTGGTGTCACTCTGCAATTGGGAGAGCCAAATTCCCAATGGTTAAAATAGAGCTGAACAATTGAAATTAAAACAGGAATTTTTCCACCCTATTAAAATCTTCATTGTTCTAATGAAATGTAATTTCGTATATTTAACTTCTCCTGTGCCTCTTTCTTGACTGTCTCTGATGTCGGGGAACAAAAGTTCTTGAATCTGAATTTTGATTCGAACATTAAAAGTTTTTTGTAGTTTGTCAGCATCTGTCTAAGATCAAACAACACTTACCAGTTTTTTCAAGGACACCCATTAACAATCTAGATACAACAGTAGGTAACATCTTTCTGGGAATATTAGCTTCTTTAATAATATTAATAACATCACTAGTACTATCATTACTTATGTTATCATCTACTATCTGATTCTACAATATAGATTACATACATAGTGTCAAGACTCTTCAATCATCATATGCTTTAAAGGGAAAGATTCATCATTTGGAAGTTAATTTATGTTTTAAATGTATGTAAGGTTTTCGGGAGAACTGGACTGTACAAAAATTATCCAATTCCTTCAAAATAACTATGAACTTCTTAATCTCTATACGTCTTTTCTATATATCAGAGTATCTTATATTAACAAGTCATCATTTTAACTTTCAACCGCAGATTATTCTAGACACACATGATTTGAATGCATTTATTTTGATGGCAAGCTGTGACTATTACTGACAAGTAATGCTAATAAATTTCATTTCCGAGACTATGGTGTGATTGGTCAAACTGATGGGACTAAATAATAAATACTTACAGCTATTTTCAGAACTTCTTCCTTACTAATTCCAGACTTTTTATTATTACTTTTATTCTTATCTTGTACTACTATCTGTTTAATTGGTAACGGTTCCTGAAAATACCACAATATATGTCAAACTACACTAATTTAGCAAAACAGAAAGACATGAATTCTTTTTGGTACTGGTTTAATTTTTTTTCAGGCTTCACACCCTGGATCAATCATGTTTCCTCCACATTCGCAGCACTTGATGTGAGGTGCTCTCTCAACTCAAAATAAATTCTTCTCCTTCACCAGTTGGTAACACCCCCCAGGGGGTGAAAACACAGGGTGGGAACCATGGCCTTAAATGATGCAAAAATATAAATAATTTACCTGTTTGATAGTCATGATAGGTTTTACATGAGTCGTAGGATCTTGGTTACTGGGTCTCAAAGACCAACCTTGACTATTGGTAGGTGCCATTGCCGACTTGGGCAGTGCTTTTGGGGTGTTAGGTTTAAAATTAAAGTTTTTGACAGGTCTGAGACTAACATCTTCCCGAGGTGGCATAGTTGTTGATGACATACCATTAGTGGTTGGTGAAGAAGATGTAGATACGGGCGGTGAGCTAGGTGGAGGGTGTTGAACATTCATACGTTGAAATCGTGGAGGCAAATCTCTTGCAGCTGTTCCACCTGCAACAGAAAAATTGGGATTCATTCACTTTTACAGAGAAAGAAATTAAGATGCTGAAATGAAATATAGATGGAACTTGCATCCATCAAAACTGGAAACAAGAAACATTGTGGAAGGATTAATTCAATACAAGTTGTTCTTACCTGGCTGTTGTTGTTGTTGTTGCTGTTGTTGATGCTTGTTATTTTGTTGTTGTTGTTGTTGTTGGTAGCCGTTATTACCATTCTGTTGTTGATTTTGTTGTTGGTTATTTTGACGACCTCCCCTTGGACTTCCACTGCCATCCTGTCTTCTGTTTTGGTAGTTATTTTGATATCCTTTTAAGTATAACAAAATTTTGATTAGTCAAGTAAAGCGTTGAAATGTTGAATTATACATCAATGAAAACAGCAGATTTTGATGCATTTATTATAAACCAAAGGCTCTAATCATTGAAATGATAGAATATATCATGAAACATCATTGTAAACAGCATGGTAATGCATATCTTCTTATCTAAATATGATGTCAAAGCTTTATTTCATTTGCCCGACTAACCTTGATTTTGATGATTCCTATTGCGTCCTATACCAGACGAGTTGTATTGTTGTGTTGTATTAGAGTCTAACGATATCACCCCTGGTCCTGTTCCTATCATATAATCTACAAATACACAATAATATGAAATTCAAAATAACAATCCAAAATAACAGGGTATATAAATCTTTCATAGTGCCCAGAAAACTTGCTAACACTTAGCTGAAATCTTTTAAAAATACTTACTCATGGAGTTAGCTGGTGTACTAAAAAGATCACCCATCCCCCCCTTCATACTCTGCGCCAGTCCCCCATTCATTGACCTATTACCGATCATATTAGACATTCTACTCTGTTGTGGCTGGATAAAAACTCCAAGTTCCTGAAAATAAGTACAAAAATCAATTAGAAATTCCTTCAATATCAACCACAAGTCTAAAATCTACCAAATCAACTAGTACATAGTTTGTATACAACTTTCAGATTTATATATTTGACACAGAGGACAAGACAGAAAATACTTTCTTTTATAGAGATTTGACAAATATCCTTGTCCTTTTGGAATATATTTTTTCAATGAATGACTTTTCGCTAATATTTATTAAATTTCTGTGACTAAATACTTACAGCAGCTGCTTGTTGTCTAATTTCAGTAATTGTTTTAGGTCCTGCTGTGGTTGCATGAAGACGTGGTTTCCACTGTAAAATAAAAAAGTAGGTAAAATACAAAGAATAGCACTCATAGAAATCTCAATAAGCTTATAATAAGAATATCATTTTCAACTAATTTAATGTAATACATAGAGAATAATACTGACCTTTTTTGCTCTCAACTCCACCACATCTTGCAGCATAAAGCGAATTCTCCGTGGCAACTCATCATTACCAGCAAAATATCTTATTCGCTCAAAATATTGATCCATCCATGCCTGAAAGAGTAATGACAAATACATTACACTAGAAATATTTTTCAAATCACATCATAAAATATGATCCATTTTCAAATTTTTTACGCAATGCACCAGGATATGCAACAACTCTTTATCAAAATAACTGTTTCTTGAAATAGGTAGTTCAACTTACCTTCGCCCGGCTTGTGTCCAGACGAGGGCCGACAGTTCGCATTATCTGACAGAGACATTCAAGGTCTTCAGCCATGTCCAGTACTGGTGTGTTCTTTTTCTTCTCCAACAACTGTTTGATGCATTTATGCAGAATTCCTTCATGAAGCATTTGTAGTTTGCCCAGCTCACCTGTAAATGGATGATGCAAAATATCTATCACTCAGAAGTCAATTTATTTATTTCTTACTATCAATATGAGTTCAATAACACAAATACTTTTACAACCTCTATAACAATTCTTGGATGGTGCAACGAAAAGTCCTTAGTCATTGTTTATGTCCTTTCAGCTATATCCCAAATATTATTAAACACATAGTACTTACAGATAAATTTGATGTTGCCAAGCATTTTCCATTTTGCCAAATAATATTGTTCTGCTTCTTCGTCTGAAAGTGGGCCATCTTGTTTGTCAAAAGCTAAAATAAAATCATTATATCTATTTACATGAACATTCGTTAAATCATACCATAAGGGCAACACGACCTGTCACATTTAAGGCATCATATACCCTGAAAGAGTTGCCTAGGTAACAAGTATTTTATATTGTTGACTGCGTGATATTGTAGATGAGTTGAGTTAAACACAAATATCAGTTTGAGACTTACCTTCGGTTGCTCTTGATCTGTTTTCAAATTCATCTTGGCACTTATTTAATAATAGACGGCGAAAAGTCTAAAAAAAAAAGTTCTTGTGTCAACGAATACAAATTAGCACATGTACAAACTTTTAATATTTGGAAATCATAAGAATCTAGACATCAATATCTGAATCTAAGCATGATCAACATATAAATTGTCACTATCTGAATCCAAGCATAATCAATATATGAATTGTCAATATCTGAATCCAAGCATAATCAATATATGAATTGTCACTATCTGAATCCAAGCATAATCAATATATGAATTGTCAATATCTGAATCCCAAAATGGTCAATGCATAGTCAATATTTGAAGAAAAGGTGAAATCATAAGATCCCTGTCATGTTAATGTGTAAGTAAAACCGTATAAACTTACTGTGATGTTAGAGTCAGGGGGTTCAAAGTTTGGTGCGTCGTCACATAGTCGCTGACATAGTTGTGCATACAATGTACTATATTTTACTTCCTCTAGAGCCTTTTCAAAAATCTGAAACAAAAATTAATTTTTATATTGTTTACATCATGTATAAAACAATCATAATAACAGTTGATGCATTAGCTGACTTAAAGAACATGATATTTCAGTAGGTCGAAAAATAATGATTTATCTGAAAGCTTTAACAAAAATAGCATGCCGTTTTATTTATCCAATTGTATTGTTAAAGAAAATTAACTTTCACTCACCAATAATATTATTCCTTTAAGGATAACTTGAGAATCTATTCCTACATTTAATAATTCAAGACTTAGTTTATCAAATTTCTCTGGACTCAATTTGTTAAGGATTCTGTAATATATAAAGAAATTCATTAAGTATTATAATCATGATTTAGAATTTGTTACTCTTACTCCTGTTTCCATGAATTTGTATCTAATATTCTTAGTTTTCAGTTAACAAACAATCATACCACAAAAAGCTGACAGATTGTCACTATGTGATAGGAATTCAATCAAAGTGATCCACAGAAAATAAGTAGAACAAAATATTCAAGTCAAAGCCAATGACCAATGTATCAAATTGTAATTCATATACATTTTGGCATCAGCTATAATCTATGACATATTGATTTAGTAATTGCAAGTTGCAAGTATTAGTTTGAATCTTGGAATTTTGAACATGAAGAGTCTTACCCTCTAACACGACGGAATATCTGGTCATATTTTTCTTCTCCATATTTGGCATCGCGTCTTAGACTGCTTGGGGGTATCCATCTGGATTTATTTGGTACACGGTTGGCCGAGGCACCAGTGCCTGAAGTGGGTGGTCTATTATCTCTACAAAAAGCAATCATTTCTTATAAAAGCTTAGTTCACCACCAATTTTACCTTCCAATCTTTCAATGAAGGAGAACAATTTTTCATGATTAAAAATCGTGAAACATAAAATACAACCTCTACCACAAATTAAAATTGTTTTACAGGAGGGACTGGTTAGGCAGCTATTACCAAATAATGTCCCATAATAAGCTTAGTCTTCATAAGCTTTAAGTCTAATCCAAAAGGAAATAAATGAAAATTATATGCACTAACCTTCCTCCAGAGCGTGGAGAAGCACCACCCTTCCCTATCGTAGCGTCCAGTATGCTGCTTCGTATAATCCTTATATGTATTTTCACACAGGGGAAAAAAATAAAGAAAAAATCGTTTGTACTAAGAAAACCTGAAAAATATAAAAGAAAACTTAGAATTACTATTTTGGATCATTCGAAAAAATGAACATACTAAAAACAATATAAAATTTTCTAGTAAGTATCTATAAAAAATTTACTTGTACCTTTACTCCATGTTAATTTCTTCACAAAAAAAAATCAAAACAAAACTATAATACACTTTCAAAAATCTGTGCTTCAAAAAATTCTGTTTTAAATATTTGTTTTCACTTGAAAGATCAGTTTATATAACACTGTTGACAACTGGAGAGTTTTTGGTTCAATGTAACTGTAACTGGACCAGGTTGAATTTAAGTAAGGAATAAACAAAGGATTTCAATCTACTGTTCACAATGACAGATGGTCACTTCAATCACTTCAAAGTGTGGCCAATATTTTAAAACAATAATGAACTCATTACCACCTGTCTAATTACTGGAGGTGTCATAAGAAGCTTAATTATTATTAAGGTGCTAATTAAGTTAGTCTACTACTGATACTTTAAATTTAATATTAGACCTAACACTTGTCAATATAGGTTTCATTAAGTGGTATCTTAATTTCTGTCCTGATTCATTTTGATGAGTGGTAATAGCATGTAAGCTTCAAGTGAATATTGACAGGCATTTTGTTTTCAGTATATAGGCTGGTAATGTAGGCAGAGGCTTAAGTATGATACAAATTCCTCTGTGATCAAAGAATAGGAGGGCCGCCTACAAAGACAAAAGCTGTAAAAAAATTTTCTACATAGAAGCAGAGATCATTGTTTCGCTCTTATGACTCTATTGAATAATTAATCATTCATAGAAAATTTTCAGAAGCATAAATTACACAAAGATCAACCTTTAAAATACAAGTAAGCTTATTTTTAATTTCATAAGTATCCTAGGCTACCAGTACCAGACCTAATAAAATTAAAATTGGTTTGCTACATAAGCTTACCACTGTTGACCCAATCTTGACCCTTTCTTTCATAAAAATGCTTAAGTTTTAAAATGATTTTCTAAATATAAAGCCTTCAAACTAAATCATAATGTCTGATTGGACTTCACAACCAAACAAAACAAAGAATTCAAGTTAGTCTGTCTGTCACTGTCAGTATTAACAGTATTCAGACTTCAAATTACAATCATCAACTCTTCAGAGAAAATCACAAGATTTACCATCAATCTTTGATTCTTTTGAGAGATATATAACTGAAGAATAAATTATAAAAACCTAAATATACAACTGAGATTTTGTAATTTTATTCATTTCTTCATCAAATAGTGCCGACATTTTTCCAATTTCGATCAAGTCGAGGCATTTCTGACAAAGAGGCCAACTTTCACTCCGTTTCAAACCTACATAATAACATAAAATAGTTCCTAAATAACAAAAACTAATTGATTAAGAGTTCGATCACCTAGTTTACTTACACTATTTCGAGTAAGGATAAGTCTGTACAACACACATTAAAAATTTCAGTTAATTATCAGGGTAATTTCGTCTTTCTTCCTTGCTTGACGAAGAGGCAATGATCCCAAGATGCAAGTGCGCTGATGCATCATGGGAGCGGTCGATTTTGACTCATTAATATTTTGACCGGATTTTGATCATTATTGACATAATTCTTGGGAACTAGGTCAATTTATTTGAGTGGAGGAAGAGAAAGATCATATTTTAACTACTGTAGTGTATTTTTTCTATTCGAACACTTTCAATTTGCAAGATCCTGATTTTTTATAGGTCTACTTTTCCCTCAAAACAAAAGTTAATATTTCAATTATCTCCCCTGAATAATATACACAATATTGGAGGGTTGATCAAAAAGTTTATTACAAGATATTTGCCATATAAATAGAACAATATAACGGTATAGTAGTTGTACTGGCCGAATTGATAAGAGGTGAAACTTTAATAATGTGATATCTAAACTTAATGAAATCATTTGAAATGTGAAAGTAACCTGTGAAAAAGATGAATGAGAAAGATTCGAAAAATGCATATCATTGAGTTACGGTTTACTAGAAGGTTACCCCCCGCCCTCCCTTTTTGGCCATTGTGTCAGATCTTGTAGTCATTACCTCATTGTCAGATGTCTTATTTTGGACACAGAATTACATAGCAGTACCAAATTCAATGAATAACATTTTATTTAAATAATCATTTCGAACCATCCTCAAATTTGTATTTATTTTTTGTCTGAGTTATATGAAATATTGTCTCCCCCTTGGTACTATTATGAAAACAGGTGTCACCACGTGTTGCAATCTGAAGCCCTAATCGAGCATAATGTACTCATGAATGCTCCCAATCTTTCAAAATTATCCAATTTCATATTTTATTCGGACAAAAATACAAATCATCCCTTGAGTGTTTCCATTTTGTTATAAAGGCACCTTTTAGAACATTCAAGCTCTCGGAAATTGCCTATATTTCGTCTCTGCATAAATTATCCATATTCCGGCCTGGCATATTTGGGTGCAGTGCATGGCGGTCTAGATTTTGAGGATTTTTGGGTAAGTTTTCCCAGTGTTCCCTGTAAATTATTCTAAAGTATCCTGGGAAGGGATGTTGGTGTTGGGGAATATTAGAAGTAGAGATGCCGTTAGTCTCACTTGGGATTAATTGACTTTCTAAGGCAAAATCTCCCTCAAAAATTTCAGTCAAATACCCCTCAGATCTCAAAAACAACATGTCTACCTCTTCTGTGGTGAATCACATCGACTTTAAGGGGTTGACAAGGTTTCTTATGTGAATGAATTAGCCCAACTCAAACTAACTGTTGTTGGCTGTAGTAAGAAGAAGTTTATCACTATTATTTTCATTTTCCATAATAAATGACATGTACCCTAATGCTATGTATTTATTGTTACCAACAAAAAGCAGAGGGAGATGTTAAGGGGCTTCTAGTTCAAGGCTAGAGAACCTTGGCTCCAATATTGAATTTAGAGGATAGGAGTCATTGTTAGGGGGGGTCAGGTGGGCCTCTCTTTTGAAAGGAAGGCGGATAATACATCTATGATCTAATGCGATTTTGGCAATAAAAGTAGAATAAATTTTGCATTGCCATGGCCCAACCCCCTAAATACGCTGTATGTTGTATATTGAAGGTCATGTAATCAATTTGCACTATTCCCATTTTCAATCACATGACTGTATCATTTAGAAGAATATAGAACCACAGATGTCTGAGTTCAAATTTGGAATGGTACAAATTGATGCTATATGAATTGTCCGTGATACACATACAAAAAATTGGAAAACCTTTTTACAATCCCTTAAACAAAATATGTTGTTTTTCTGAAGGAGATTCCACTTGCCGTTTATGATATGACAAAAATGTTCTGGTCATTACATGATATATTCAAGAACCAAATCAACCTCTGAAAATGACCAATCTGTCTCTTTAAACATTGGCTTGTATCATCTGCACAGTATTTTGATTGCTTTACAACTAATGATGCTATTTGGCAAATTTCGGCTGAACATGATTTAAAGAAAAATTACACCAGATTAATATTCCTGAAATAACCACAACTTCTGTCAAGACAAATTGATAAAACTTCATTAAATCAAACTCAGTTGCATATCCAAAGAAGTTGAAGTCTCAAATACTTTTAAGTAAGGGGTTCAAAACATCAACATATAGGCCTATATAAAATGGTTTTAATGAAATAATTTAGTCATTCAGTTAAATTCTTAATTCAAACTTTCTTACTCTAACACTGTCTTACATCACCATGACAACAATCAAAAAAGTCCAATTACATCAGCTTACATAAACAATGACTGTAGATGGCCCTGACTCCTTCAAAAATCTCAACAATGACTCAACAAGTGATATAATTTCCATATGAGAGTCTGTCTGCAACTTGGCTGTACTGTTACAAGCAGAAATTGGACCAGTGACAGTTTTAAGCAGAAACCAGTACGCACTACAGAAAAAAGCCAACCAAATTTCCATCAAGAGTTGGATTTGACCAATTTCTTGCAAACATCCTTCCACATTAATAAAAAGCTCTTGCAACATGTGTGTCAAGAGTTGGTTGAGATCTTCAAATAGCGAGTTAAAGATGAGTTGCCTTATTTTCATTTACGAAAATGAAAATGCTAATACTTATATGAATAGAAAGTAGAGGTGTTCTATAATGACTTGGAAAAATACCATTTGTCTCACATGTCCATAATTCATAATTAGCTAAATTAGTAATGAATTACCAGTAGAATTCCAATGAGTGACCGATCAGGAAAGGTCAGAATGTCTCTTTTTGTTTATCCAGACTGTACATACATGGACATTTATGATTGGTTAGATCTCTTAATTACATGCAATAACATAATGATATGATGAAGAATACATAGATGTCAGGTTACATGATTTTATATTTTTTGTATATGTACAGATGATATACAATGGAAAGTATAGAGGTGTTAGAAAATGAACTATCTGTAGTAGATGATGATGATGGTATAGGTGAAGAATTAACTGTTAATCATGACTTATCTCACCATGATACTGGTAAATATTGTTCAAAAAATTTTCTGTTTAGATTTCGATCTTGTATTTTATCATAAAACAGACTGCGCAATTTGTAAGAACTTTGAAATTTTTAACCATCTAATGGAATGACATCATTTGATTGGTTATATCAAACAAATGGTGGCTGTGGATTCTTATCTCAGTTTGCATGTGAAAGTCTGCTGACCTTGAATAAGTCATCCTGCCTTATAATTCGAGTCAACCCATCCTGTCTTTTTATTCCAGTCAACCCAGCTAGGAATGTGCTCGGCTGATCTTGGAAAGATCAAAGCTAGGAGGTTTTGCCAAGGACAAGCTGGTGCAAAGGAACCTCAGGAATGTTTTTTCTATTTTTACAAAGTCTACTTGAAAAGTTTTGAAAATCCTTGAAATTTGATGAATATCAATCAATCATTAATATTACAGATACCTCACTAGTTACAGCAAGTGATGGTGCTTCATTAGTAGTAGATCATGATAGTACATCAGATCATGGTTTAGAAATAGAGGAAGGCGATACTAATAATACTGTTAGCGGTACCGAATGTCTGTCAGTTATAGGTTCATCTGGTATAACTACTATATCTCAGATTACATCTGAACAAGTCATAGGTCTTGGCCTTTTACTACAAAATGAGGTAAGCTTTACATATATTTTTTTATTGGCAAATTCTTTTAGGCTCACATTTCTTGAGAAATATAGTTTTGGCAACCATATTCCTTTTTTTCTAAAAATCTGTCCTATATCATTTCAGTGTTTTATTACTGTATCAACAGCGCTCTTTCTAGTTCAAATCAAATTTCATTTGAAATATATTTCAGAAAGAAGAAAAAAACGCACCTGATGAAGGAAATTTAGAAGTTCCACAAATGTTACAAGCTGTTACTTTTCCTGATGGTACTACAGCCTTTATACAACACAATAAAGGTATCTTATATCCCCATTTTGTAGTGTTAACTAACTAACTAACAGCAGTACAACATTTAGTCTGTGTGCATATTTACAAAACAAAACCTTGGTTTATTTGTAAGCATGTAATAGTTTCAGACATTTTGAAGAGGGATTAATTCTTTCCAAAATAGAATGGGTTAAAGGTCAATTTCACAAGAATAATTACATCAATAGTTGAAAAAATGAGCTCTATTAAAAAGCTTAAAGGTATATAACTACAGTTTAAATTCTTATTGTCCAGATATTTCATGTAAGCTTGGATATCTTTTCAGATCTGAAATTAACAGAAGGTCAAACTTTAACATTAGAAGATGGTACCACAGCAGTTGTTCAAAATACTGTTACAACTACAAAAGGTAGTGTCTCTATCACAGTATTCCTTGAGGAATTTCTGAGCTTTATTGGCTCCTCCAGTTTGTCATTTGGATTGATTGCTGAAGTTTAGATCTTGACCTTTTTTCAAAAAAATATGGTTCCAATTTCTAAAGTAGAGCACACTTGAATGAAAAGGTTGCTTATGTGTGCCAAGCATACCACTAGCTGTGCATATATAAAACATTCAGCTTTTTTCCGATCTATAGGTTTCCTGTATGACAAATAACAATGACAATATGACTATGCAGGGTTTATATCGCCATAACAATATCAAGATTCACATTCATTCCATATATATTTACATTGTCTTATCTTTTCAAAGAAAACTAAGATTACTGCTGAAATTTTCTTTTTGCTTTCCTTCTCAATATAATTCTTTTAGCAAATTTATTATTTTTTTTAGAAGTGACCCCAGAAGCAAGTGAAGAAAATAAAGTTGTAGAAGGACAGGCTATTCAATTAGATGACGGAACCATGGCTTATCTACAGACAACTAAAGGACCAGGTATACTGTTATTTTTACTTTGCTTTTTGAAACCACCATTTCTGCTCCAGGTATTAGCATTATGATACAGGTGGTTGAAAGGTAACAAGTTTTTATATATAGCATTATGATGAAGAAATATCAAGATTTATTGATAGATATCTTGATATCCCCTTGAACCATTATTGCCCATTCTAAATCTGAAATATATTATAAAGATAATGCACATTATTGTCATACCCATTAATTTCTCAGTTTTTTTATCTTTTTATTTTAGATGGATTGCAAGCAATAACACTAGAAGATGGTACTACAGCATATATAGCTCATCCCAATCCTGAATCTTTGTTTGTTGAGACAGCTGGTCTGGATGGTACTCTACCCAATATGGAACACATATCTCAGGTAAAATGTCAAATTCTTACAGAGAGTAAGGTTATCATAAGTAAAGTTAGTAGAGTTCAGAGATCTTAATGGGATTTTGAGTATTAAAGAGAGTCAGAGTACTAAATAAGTCTGATTCTTAAAACAAGTCAAATTCTTAAAGAGAGTCACAGTCTTTAAGAGAGTCAATTCTTAAAAAGAGTCAAATTCTTAAAGAGAGTGGAATTCTTAAAGAGAGTAAAATACTTAAAGGCAGTCATAGTTTTAAAGAGAGTCAAAGTCCTAAAGGCAGAGTCACAGTTTTAAAAAGAGTCAAATTCTTAAAGGCAGTCACAGTTTTAAAAAGTGTCAAATTTTTAAAAGCAGTCACAGTTTTAAAAAGAGTCAAATTCTTAAAGGCAGTCACAGTTTAAAAAGAGTCAAATTCTTAAAGGCAGTCACAGTTTTAAAAAGAGTCAAATTCTAAATGATAGTCACATTCTTAAAGAGTTTGAGTACTCAAGTGTTAAAATAAATCTGTCTTGTTGGAAGGGTAGATATGGATACAATTTCTAATAAAAGAAAGATTGTAAAATTAGAATTATATCTGTTATTTTAGCCAAATATCATATAATTTGTATGTTTTATTTAAGAAACATAGTTAGCAGCCTGAATTTATATCCATGGACCATTAATTAACTCTCCCAAAACATTCCAAGTGTGCTACAGGCTGTGCACATTAAAGATCCATCGACAGTTGGAAATCGAAAAAGAGCAGGCTAATGCTGATGTCCTGGCCAAATTTCCTTCATCGCACCCTGCATGGCATTTCCCGTCTTCATTAGCCCACATGGTGCAGAAAAATAAGACGTAAAACTCCATTTCATTTCATTTCCCAAAACATTCACTATTTCAAACCATATGATATCTTTGTCTAGTTTATGTGTTAAAGAAAAGGTGTTTTTGAACAAATTAAATCATATGTATTGTTGATTCTAGGTTACAGGAAATACAGATCTGACTGAAGAAAGTGAAATCAAACAAGAAATCATAGATAAAGGAATAATTGTAAGTAAACTTGAAGCCATATACTTTACAATTTACATTGGATGAGGGAAGCATTTAAATAATATAGCCTTTGATATTCTTTAAAGGGATATTTGTTTTTTTGATGTCCTAAGTTTGGCCTGGTATATCTGGAACCACAAACTTCTGCAAGAATCAGTCTGAATGTTCATTAGTGCAGTCAGCCCAGCTTTTAATGTTTACAGGAAAGGATCAACCTCAAGAGGCTAAGCCAACAAGAATCCTCATGAGCCAAAGTTGTTTCCTTTTTCAAAAAATTTTTTAATGTGCTTTCTAATGGTGACATTGTTTACCATAACAGAGAATGGTAGATGGAGATGATCAAGAAAGAAATGTACCATTTGGTGATAAGGCCTTCCGTTGTATGTATGGAAATTGTGGCAGATTATATACAACTCTTCATCATTTGAAGGTAAATAAATTCGAATTTATGGAGAATACATAACCTTGTATACATATTGCACTATTGCAGTAACACAAGTGCCAGATTTTAACTTCAAAATGGGGAAAAATGTTAAAATTGCTAGTCATCAATGTAGATTATCTGCAATTTTCTTGACCCTGCTCTTCACATTTTCATTCTTTAAGGGGAACAGTGGGCATTTTTGGGTATTGATTTGGGTCTTTATTGTGCTTTAATAGTATTAACAAGTACTAAAACGCACGAAAATCGCATAATCCCTTCAAATATACCTCAAACTAGAAATTTCACTGTCTATTTCTATATATGTGTTTTCTATATATGGTATAGTCTGACTAAAATTCGAGTAGAATTTTTAACTTTCAATCATGAATAATTATGGATACACATAGATTAGAAGCCTCACATTTCGATGATGAGCTGTGAACACTATTACTGATTCTGTAAGCTAAAAAATTCCTGTTTCTGAAACTAAGGTATGATTGGTTGATAGTGAAGGTGCTTCTATAATTTATGTATTGTAGGTACATGAAAGATCTCATACAGGTGATAGACCATTTAAATGTGATTTTATTCAATGTGGTAAAGCTTTTGCTACAGGCTATGGTTTAAAATCACATCGACGTGTACATACTGGTGAAAAACCTTATAAATGTCAAGAAAATGGCTGTGATAAAGCATTCAAAACTTCTGGTGATTTACAAAAACATGTTCGAACTCATACAGGTAATTAATTACTCTAATACTCAAAATACAGATCTTGTTATATATTATTCATAACTACCTTCACAATGTCAAGGTAATATAAACTGTCTTTTACCTTGACATCATTAGACACTTTCTTGTATCACAACAAAATGTTGTATGTTAGAGAATACAGCAAATCAATACCATAACAAAAAGACCCCAAACAATCCCTTTAGGGTCTTAAATTATATATGGCAATGTACAGCAAAGAGTGATATTATTTTGTCTGGGTTAAGTCGAGTAAGAATTAACATATAAAAAAAAGTTTGCTCAAATAGGAAACAGCAAACTTAGTTTCTTGAAAATCTGTGCAAGTCAAAGCTTCTTTGATAGTTAGAATCTAAAAGAAAGTGGGCTATTGTTCCAATATTTTCCTCATTCAATACTGTATATATAGACATTAATTTTAATTTCATAAATTTTCAGGTGAAAGACCCTTTAAATGTCCGTTTGAAGGATGTACCAGATCCTTTACAACTTCTAACATTCGTAAAGTTCATATTAGAACACATACAGGAGAACGACCTTACAACTGTACAGAAGAGGGCTGTGGGAGATCATTTGCAAGTGCCACTAACTATAAAAACCATGTTAGAATACATACAGGTGGGTATCATATTGTATTTCAGTATAAATGCAAAGAGCCTGAGTTATAGGTTTTGAATGAAAGGTTGTCAGATCTAATCTGTCCGATGACCATGAATATGTCATCTTCACTCATAATTGCAGTCGACCCAGCTGTAAATGGGTACTGATAATCCAGGAAAGATCAATGTCAAGAGGTTTGTACAAGGACCAGCTGGTAGAAAGGATTCTTAACTGTGAACCTAAGTTGTTATCCTTGTAAAATATAGTTGTTCCCTTCTTTCTTTTCTCTCATGGCAATTTTGGCATGTTCATGTTCTACTTGTAGCAAAATTAGATTTGGTTGTTGGCAGTCAAAATATTCCACCAATTATTAGCATTTGGTTTATTTTGGATCCAATGGGTCCAATGAGATATTGTGAGATGCCAATTTTTATTAGCCCTACTTTAAGCAGCAGTCTGATTTATTAAGTAGGATAGGAAAGTAAGGTGCATACTGCCCCTTTAAACAATAAAATATAATAATGTTTTACAGGTGAGAAGCCGTATGTATGTACTGTAACAGGTTGTGGTAAAAGATTTACAGAATATTCTAGTCTCTATAAACATCATGTCGTACATACTCATTCTAAACCATATGAATGTGGTCATTGTGGTAAAACATACCGTCAAACCTCTACTCTAGCCATGCATAAACGTACTGCTCATGGTGAAGAAGTGACTGCTGTCATTGGTGATGCTGAAACTGCTCAATTATTTGCTCAAGGTAAGCTGCTTTAGAATTTGAGATGGATCTCTAAAATATTATGCTGTAGCAGATAAGTGTATACTGAATTGAAAAATGAAATGAAATGAATGGAGTTTTACGTCCTACTTTCTGCACCTTGTGGGCTAATGAAGACGGGCAACGCCATGCAGGGTGCCATGAGGGAAATTTTGCCAGGACAGCGGCATTAGCCTGCTCTTTTATCGATTTCCAACTGTCGAGGGATCTTTAACGTGCACAGCCTGTAGCACACGAGGTCTCGGTTTATTGTCCCATCCGAATGACTAGACGCTTTTTCCATGTCAGACCCTCTTACCTGCATCACTGACATGGGGAAACCGGGTTGAAAAATCCGAAGGTATTATCTCGACCTATGCCAGGATTGAACCCTGGACCTTCAGGTTAGCGAGTAAGCGTCTAACTCACTGAGCCACCCCTGCTCCCTGTATACTGAATTGAATTGATGATTAAGTTGGAATGATATGTGCTTATCTATAAAATAAGAGTCCCATTATTATACCACCTGTCTTCATCCATAATCTCTGTTCAGTGACATGATTACAATGCATTAATGTGCAAAGAGGAAATCGTGTTTTATTAGGATAACATGAGCTCGCAAGGATCCTTTTATCATGCTACTCTGTGGCCAAACATCTTAACAGTGATGTTTCCTGGATAATTTGTATGATATCCAGTTACCATACTTTGGTGTTGCTGCCAAGGTTAGACCCCAAAGTTCTACAACAATCAATGTCATGCCACAAACAAATATAGCTTCAATTTAACAGAGAAATTAATTGCCAACTGAGATACACTCCACCCTTTAAACAACTTTAGCATTCTGATTTAGCTTATTCAGGTGACATTACGGTGTATGATTATGAATCATTGTGTACAGTAAAACCATAAAAATGTTTATAAGCAAAATAATCCATACTCTACTATGTGGAGTCAAGTCCAAAAGCCCTTTTCAAAGACGTCACTCCCTCTAATTCTATATATTATAGAAGGTGAAAGTGATGAACCAGATAGTAAAAGAACTAGACTACAGTTTATTAATAGTGATAATACGGAAGATGGAGAAGGAATGTTAGTTATAAATACTTCTCAATCATCTCAACAGGTAGAATAATTCTTGATACATTCAGGGCTTGACGCCATGAAAAATTTAGGGGATTCCAAAGTGGTATTCTATTTGCACCAATTATTATTCTTTATTTAATGTCTGTAATTCTGTAAAATATTATCCAGATTATCATGTAACTATTTTAATGGTGGCCTTATACCTTTTGGCTCTAACAGTATTCAAAATAGTGACATTCGAGCAAAAAGGATTCAAAATGGCGTTACTATGCATGGTGATAGCGCATGGCACTTGTTGTGTAGAATTCAAATCAACAACACATAAAAGCCAAGCAGATGTCAATCCATCTCACTACTAAATGATCTACAGTGATACTTTTGATATATGAAGAATTTGGTTGTAATTTGTTTTAGGTTGGTGATCTGGAAGCTGTTAGGTTGATACCAGAAGATGAATCCCAAACAATTCAAGTTTCATTACCTTGTTTACAACAATTACAACAACAACATACAATCTCAGGCTTTACTGTAAACGAACAAGGTCAACAAGTTCTGGTTGTCACTGATCCTATACAACTAGAGCATTTACAGGCCTCTTTACAGGTATACTACTTATTTTTTTTATAGACCAACATGTATATTGTTTTTACTCCTGTCCAATGTACGGTCTGTCTGTTGCGATAGAGACTACAGTTTAGTGGGTACTATGTATGTATATCTATATCAATAATATCTCTTCTATTCTGGTACGTTTGTCATGTTAATTTTGAATTATTGCCCTTTACTTAGGCTTAAAGTGTCAAAGTAGGGCTGTGTGAAGATAATAGAGGTTGGAGTTTTTATTGATGATTCAGTGATTTTTTTATCATATGATTTATGATTTATTGAATTATTCCCAAAGATGCTTGGGATATTTGTCATGTAAATAACATGTAAAGCAAAATCCCCTTGGAGGAATTAGAAGTTGTGAGTTGTCTTTTTGAGCAGCTCCTATACAGAATTAGGTTAAATAACCATCTAATCTTTCTTTTCAGCAAATTGCTGGTCAAATTGGTACTACTGCCTCTCTGAGTATTACAGTTGGGCCAACAGAATTAACTAATAATGGTACCGCAAGCGTTAGCATTGCCAGTGATAGTGTTAGTGTTGCTAATGATAGTGTTAGTGTTGTCAGTGATAGTGTTAGTATTGTCAATGGTAGCGTTAGTGTTGCCAGCGAGAGTGTTACTAAACCAGAGAACACTATACCAACGACCACTTCCTCAGAAACTACAGATACTCAGTCTACAGAAATCTCTATTAAGGCAGAATAATGATCCAAGAATGACAAGGTCTTAAGTATTATTCTGAAAATATTCTTTCTCCATGCTCCCAAGTCAAGAGTTGTTCGAAGAAAGCGGTCTTGGTTAGAGTTTTTGTCCATGATTCGAATCTTGAATAAAATCTCGCGTGTGCCTGTGCTTCCGTGATAAGATTATTGTGTCACCGACTAGGTTTTATAATATCAAACAACTTTGATAATTGTCTCTGAAAGTTTTATCGTCTGCAAGACAGACCATCATTATCATCAGAATCGTTTTTATTTCAATTGCATGCTCTGCACATGGTTATCGACAAGGTGGAAAACGACTGACTGGGGATATTTGTCTCCGCTTATGCCCATGCAAAACTCTAATTGTCGACAAAAGTCTCCGACCAAGATTGCTTGTTTGCCCGCACCTTTAACCAAATGTTTGACATCTTTGACTTTGCACATGAGGGAAAGATTCAAAACATAAAGCAACCAAAAAACTGTTTTTTGACACAATAAGCATGGTTTAGCCGCTGGTATACATGTACTCAAAATGTCTTGACACTGTATATATAGAAGTTATACATATTATTTATAAATTGTTAATGTATATTTTTGTGTATAATATTATGTATTATAATTTGTTGAGAACACATGTTAAATGATAAAATCAGGTCTTTAGCTCAATTGTCTTGTTGCATTACTTTAATTTCTACTATTTTTATACATGTGTACACGTTCAGTAAAAAAAAAAACGGAGACAGGCCAATACATTGTTATTACAGGATGAGATTAAAGTGTGTCATCGGTAATCAAAATACATGTGATGATAATATTTTATTGATTTACGGTAGAGAATTTGGACAATGAAAATGGTAGATCCTGTGAAAATTTGATTACAGAAAAAAAAAAAAAAAAATGTCAGTAGATTGAATAATGAAACTGTTAATGTTTTTGATTTGGGAGCATTGTAATGTACTCTCATAATTTTTGACATCTTGCCATGAAGCATTACTTGAAAATAAAATATATTATTGAAATGATTATTTTTTTGATAAAATACGGTAAAATATAAAAGGTAGATCGTTATATTTTTGTAGATGAACAAGTTCCATGTCAGCCTAGCTGTTTTTTTTTTCGTGTGATACAATTCCTTTTAATGAAATTTTATTATTGTTACTGAAACTAATATAATGATAAAATTATGTAAAGCTCGATTTAAGCTCTCAGTATCACTTTTCAAAAGTAAAAATCAATATAAACTGAAATTGAGCTTGATTGATAATAGATTAAAAAGAAAACAATTTGTTCTTGTTGATAAGAATGGAATTATTCTTTTATTCAAAAATTATGTTTGTTGTGTTAAAAATGTTTCCAAATAATGTTTAAAAAAGATTTACTCTTAAGCATTCAATAAATTATTGAACAAATTTGATTTGTGTTGATTTTATTTCACCTTATCTTAAAGCAATAGGGTGATTTAACACTAGATGATATAATGGTGGATAAATCCTCAAGAAACGTGACCATCAAATGGCATGCACTCTCACCAAAGCTACAAGCTGTCGCAATGAGCTCGCCAGACAGGATGACATTCGTCCGAAAGTCATGAGGACTTGGCTGCATCGTCTCCCAGATGTCTAGTAGGTTGCAACGCACGAACTACTCACAAGGTCTCATACATGGTCAAGCAACACCACAGAGAAGCTGCTGGTTTAATTAGGCTACATTAGGCTAAGTATACATCCACATACATGTTTTGAGACCACAATTGTATTTTGACACTAATCACACTCCATAGAAAAATAAAGACCACAATGTGAATGCACTAATTTACACAAAATATAAATCAAAGGACATTCACGTATAATAGTCCAAACACTTCTGAAATACATTGTATTCCATAAAATAAAACTCATAAAAATTAGAAGATGGTCAATAAGGCATATTAAACATTTTACAGACAGGAGTCAGTCAATGAGGCATGTCAAACAAACCATCTCGTAAGTTCTCGTCGTTAATCAACATGGCTGACTATTCGTGGCAAGAATCTCAAAAGGTAAACAAACAGTTAAATCATAAACTTTTAGTGGTTTACATTCCTTGTGTGATTGTTGGATAGGTCAAGACTTTCGCATTGAGTTATTTAAACTATATTTGCACATTTTTTACCTTGAATATCTGATCTGTTTGCATGTCACTATCATTGATTGACATTTGGTTTATTTTTTTTTATGCATAAATAACGACTTTCTTAATCTTTTTCGTACTCGTCGCTCTAATAAGTTCTTTTTAAACTAGAGCTGGGATACACTAAGTAAACTAAGTAGCATGTACTAATAAAAAATTTGTCTAGTTTTCACCTTCAGATACCGCTACATGCATCTTTCCTTTGGTAGGCCTATACAAGCGACTACACTGAGCTATCTTATTATATTACTTATTAGCATACCACTCACTCACTCATGTTCACCTTTTCTCTGTGAAAGTTCCTGGGGATGACTATTAGACCTTTTCACTAATTTATCATCTTACTCAAGATTAATTTCTGCAATTTACAGTACCGGTAACGATACTATTTGTTCATTGTGTAAGCTAACACAACTTCAAGAGTCTAGAAACTATTAGAAGGATTATACTTACATAGAAAATAGCCTATAGTTTATGTATGAATGTTGTTTATGTTTTTCAGATGACCTCCAGTCAGGGGTCAGCAGTGTTAGATATGCAGATAGATGGAATGGAAGTCTTAAATGATGATGCATCAGATTATGGAACCGATGGTAACTTTTTGATAATAATTGAATAAAGCACATTAGGATCTGAAATCTTGGTCTGAGTTTCTCTTTCGAAAACTAGTTTCTGTTCTCTATGTAGACTGCACAATATCATAAGTGTAAGAGGGTAGGAAGCCCATTGAGTATTATAATGGGATTTATAATTCAATTTTATTGATTCATTACAGACATTGGGACAGGAAGCTCTAGAAAAGATGCTGATTCAGCTGATGATATGAGAAAAAGGATAGGACAGAATGTTGGAGAAATTGTAAGGAATTCACATCCATTCTTTTCAGTGATCTATAATACAGAACACACTTTATTATGGAACATTAGAGCTATAGAAAATTCCATGTACAAATGAGCACAAGGACCATATACCAGGATATAGTAAAATTTGTTTGTAGACTATTAGCTAAATGGATCTGTCCATTTCATATTATGCAGTCATATATTAAAGATATTATGACTATTTTCTGCAGGTATGGCAAGCTAGTAAACAAAAAGCTCAGAAAGCCTGGAGTGTGTATGGAAACATTGATATCTTGAGGCCATATTTTGATGTAGAACCAAGACAAGTACAAAGAAGGTATGCTATGAACTATTGCACTATATTGAACTATATGACTGGATAACATTTTCCAAAACCAGTAAAAACCATTCTTTAGAAATATCGCGATATATATTGATAATGCTCATTATCGTGATATACGCTTGAACTATATTTATCAGCCCTATATTGCATTCTGTGCTATAATCAATTGAACCTTGGATTCACGAAATATTACTGTATCTCTATAAAAAGATTCAAAAATAATTCACAGTATTCAAATACCTATTCATAAATTTGTAGAGAATCTTGACAAATAATGGATCGAGAGAGTAGTAACCTGGCCACGTATTCTCGAAACGATCTTAGCGCTAGGATGTCCTAAGTTCTTATCTTCTAACATTGATTCAAGGACATTCTAGCGCTAAGATCTCTTCGAGAATAAGTGGCTACCTGGCCACGTATTCTCGAAACGATCTTAGCGCTAGGATGTCCTAAGTTCTTATCTTCTAACATTGATTCAAGGACATTCTAGCGCTAAGATCTCTTCGAGAATAAGTGGCTTGAATTTTAATTGTACTAGATTTAATTAATCTTAAATTTTAAAATTTCAGATTAATATACTCATTGATACCACAAAAACCAACATCACAAAGACAGGTAAAATAATACTGTCTATAACATTAGTATGAATTTGCGTCTGTTTTGTCATTATGAAGTTTAGTTTTAGTATTTTTTGACAAACAGCATTTCTTAGCTGGATTTTCAAATAGCATTAAAGTTAGGCTCAAGTTGCCCACAAGTTTAGGTTCAAACAAAGCAAAGCTGAAAACCTTCTCTGATAAGGACACTCACTCTTTACTGGCCACAAACTTGAAACAGCTGTAACCAATTGACATCACATATATGAAGTTGCATTTCATTTATACCTAGTGCTCAAATGGTTAAGGTTCTATTTTTATTTTAGAGTATACCCAGAGAATTGTATGGACCTATAATGGTGATATTTACTCTTGTGGCTTTATTGTTATTTCAAATGAAGAGTTCCGATCACAGAGTTGTAAGAAGATTCATTATACAACTTTTTTATTGGCTTTGTTTTAGGGAATTCAACCAACTTATGAATTGAATTTAGAGAAGTATTACTTCTCCTACCAGCTGTTATGGTGATGTGGCACAAGTGGCTCACAAGGCAAATTTATGGCAATGATCGTCATTTAGGGTACAAAGGAATTTAATGGCAACTGTGGTTAGCAATGTTTGGGGTGCAACCCTTTTAATTTTCTCTTTAATATTTGGATGTAGGTTAGAGGTACTGACATGGAAAAAGCGTCTAGTTGTTCAGATGGTACAATTAATCGAGGCCCTGTGTGCTACAGACTGTACACGTTAAAGACCCCTCGACAGTTGGAAATTGAAAAAGAGCAGGCTAATGTTGATGGCCGCTGCATGGTGTCTTCATTAGCCCACGTGGTGCTGAAAAGTTGGACGTAAAACTCCATTCATTTCATTTCATTTTAATATTCGGTAATATTTACTTGCAGGAAGAAGGTACATTAATGGGTACAGCATTTGGTGTATGTTTTATTTATTGGTTTGGTTCAGCTGGTTTAATATGGTTATTATCTTATATTTGTGGTGTCAGAATAGCTATGTTACAGATTTTATCTATGTTGGTAAGTTTGAATCATTACTTTATCATTCTCACTCTAAAGATCTGCTTAGCTAACTGGTATGTATAAGAGGCTTTTGTCTTTTCTGACCTATAACATTGCTCCCATATATAAATCCAATGATCTATCTGAAGTCAAAGATTGGCAATTTAGCCAACATTTTATCAAACTGTTACTCTGTATTCAGGACAAATTTTTGGGGCAGTCTTGGTCAGAGATTCTTTTCGCCAATTAGAGTCTGTGTAAAATCTTGCTTGTGCCCATGCTTCCATGACAAAATTATCGCATCTCCGACAGCATTTATAATATCAAACAAGTTTAATAATTGTTTCCTATAGTTTTATCGTCTGCAAGACAGATCGGCATCATCCAATCAGATTCGTTTTCCTTTCAATTGCATGATCCGCATGTGATTTTCAACATGATGGAAAACGACTGACTGGAGATTTTTGTCTCATGTCCATCGGCAAAACTCCCAACAAGGCTCTAGTCCGCATCAAAAATCTTGGACCAAGACCGCTTGTGTGCCCTACCTTAATGCAACAATTAATATTTATGTCAGAAATTTCTATTCTTTTATAGAAATTGATTACATTACATTATATGCTTTGATTGTATTTTTCAGGGATATGCCTTATTTAGTCATTGTATTGTGTTATTTTTGGGTACTGTTGTACATACATCACATGATCATATGTTATTTTATTTAACATGGGCAATACTTGGTGGCCTTTCTACACTTAAAATGGTAAGTTAACAACTTTTTCTATTAATGAAGGCTATGAATTCTCAATTGTATTCCTGCATGGGATATTCTCTTGTGACTATACATTCAGACGAATTGATCTCAATACTTTAGCTCAGCATTTTTAGGAAAAAATGTATGTAAATAAACAAAGACATTTTACTTTAATATTGATGCCACGATCATGATTTTTAAAAATGGACAGTCCTTAGTTTTAAGATGGTTTCGCTTATTTTCATTTTTGAAAATGAAAATGCTAATACTTATATGAATAAAAAGTGTAGGTGGTCTAATGATTTGGAAAAATGTCCATAATTAATTCATAATTAGCTAAATTAGAAGAATTCAAATGAGTGACTGATGAAGAAAGGTCAAAAAGTCTTTTTTTTGTTTATTCAGACTGTACATACATGGACATTTATGATTGATTAAAACTCTTAATTATATACAATAAGAACATAATGATGTGATTAAGAATACATGATAATTCAACAGAAACACCAATTTATCAAATCGTTTGCTTTAAATTGACACTAAAAATAAGGAAACCCATCTTAAAATATCAAAATCTCAAAATAATTGTCCTGTCTGTAATTAGCAAAGCATTTTTTTGTTTTCTACTGAAGAAGTTGTATTATGTAATACAAAATGTTTTTATCGAAAACTGTTTTATAAAAACTGACAACAAATCATAGGGGATGGTATTCCTCTCTACCAGTATCACTTATCAAAATTATAATCCAGTGTGTAGTACCTGTGAAGTCACCTTTGATAGTGCTATACAATATAAATGTTGGAGTTAAGAATTATCATTTATTGTTTCCAGGCCTGTATTATATTCTCAAGAGCCAGTGGGAAAACAGAAAGAATCATGGTGATAGCATTAATAGCTATATTACATCTATCATTTTTACTCTATTTACATTTTGCCTATCATTCAGTTGTCGAAGGTAAGTTATTTTGTTATATCATAAAGTTTTTCTTTTTTATACGCCCACATCTCTTGACACCCCTGTCCGTCCGTCGGTCGGTCCGTCTGTCCGTCTGCATTTTCTTATAAACGCTCTAAAAACTAGATTTTTTGATGGAATCAAATGAAATTCGGTATGTGTATACATATTCATAAAACGAAGATCAAGTTCGAATTTTTTCAACCGTTAGAAGCAGAGTTATTGCCCGTGGCCCAAAATCTTGAATATTTACCATTCGCATGCTGTGGTGGGCTCATATGGCTGATGGCTTAATATATCATAAATAATATTGCCTGATTAAATAATACTGAAATATCACCATATCATGATATATGGTAGTTAACATGATATATATCAGTCAAACTTTAGTCCAGATAAGATCATCTACATAATTTTAACAAGTAATTTTATATTTAAAACAGATGTTTTTTCTTGATATTCAAGAGTGGAGTGTTGTCAAATGATATTGTTTTTATATATTACTTTTATAAATTTTTGAAAGAAAAACAACAACATTTTGTATCAAAAAACGCAATATACACCTATATCGTGTTATATAATTGCTTAATGTTGTGATATCAACTTGAACCAATATCGCCCAGCCCTAGCTGAAATATTGTACT